GACCGGATGGTGTCTCGCCTTCCCTTCTTACATCTTGTGGTTCCCAGATAGCCCCTATTTTAACGCATCTTATTAACATGTCCTTCATGGAGTGCAAGATTCCCGACGCCTAGTGTACACTAAGAATCACTCCCATCCCTAAAAAACCGCTAATTTTGGTCCTAAATCTTTTCGTCCAATTGCCTGCTCCCCCGCAATACTAAGGCTTGCTGAAAGAGTTGCCCTAGATATTATAAAGCCGTTTTCTTCCAATTTCTCTGACCCTTTACAATTTGCGTACAAAGCCAAACGGAGTACTTTAGATGCTGTTGCTCTTGTGGTCCCCTCTGCTCTAAAGGCATTAGACAAGGGTTGCCGCGAGTACGCATGCGCTTTTCTTGACTACTCCTCCGCCTTCAATACTGTCCCGCGCCCTCTTCTCCTTACCAAGACATCCGCGTGCGGCTCTCCACGCTGGGTCATCTCTTGGCTTAGCGATTATTTTACTTCCCGCACTCAATTTGTTCAATCTGGTACGCGGAAATCTACGATCCTTCTCAATGACTGCGGTGTTCTTCAAGGTTCCATTCTATCCCCTCACCTTTTCTCCCTCCACACAGACGATCTGAGGTCCCCTAATGACTGTCTTTTGGTTAAGTATGCTGATGATGTGGTTGTTCGACACCCTCTTAAAAGTCAAAAACACCTCCAGTCTCTAAAGGATGGTCTAAGGCATGTCCTAGTCTGGTCGGAGGATAATCGTCTCCTAATTAACAACCAAAAATCCGTTCAGTGTACTTATCGACTGCGGCCCTCTCCTTGTCCTGAATCCTCTGGCATTCTTCCTAACGAAGTGTCCTCTTTCAGGTACCTCGGCGTTACTTTGTCCTCAAATCTATCATTTTTCCTCCATATTGAGTCCCTATTTATTAAAGTTCGTAAACTTCTTTATTACATGCGTCGTTTACGTTCCTACCACACACCTCAACCCTTAATCTGGCGATTTATCGATGCCTGCATTCTTCTTCTTATCCTATACTGCTCTCCTGTCATTTTTCCTGCTTTGCCTAAAAGGGATCTTTAAATTTTGAAACGAGTCCTCCGCATGCTCTCTTCTGCTGCTGGTGTTTCTTATCTTTTTTTAGTCGACACTATCTTACAACGACATTTCAATGCGGTCAAACAATTTGCTGGTCGGATTATAGGCGACGTTGTCCATCCCTTGCATTCTGATCTTATTTCTGCGAAGTCTTCCTGCCTGATGCGCCGAAGTTTCCGACTTATGTCATGTCTCACATCCACTTATCGAGCTTCTGTATTACCATTCCTAGCGCACTATCTTACGTGCGAAGAGATAGAAATACAGAAGCTAAGACTTGAACTATCCTCATAATAATCATTTCTTTGTGTTAAACTTTGACTCTTGAATAATCTACTAACTTATTTACTGCCCATAGTGAATGGAGGCAATTTTTTTGCTGAAAATTTTGAGCTTATGATTGCAAAATAAAGCGACTTCCTCTCTCTCTTTCCTTTTTTGTCGGCAAATATTGTGATCCCCTGGTCTTTCGGGAGCTGATAGAAATTCTTCCCAACAAGGTAAATAGTGAATGCTTCATGTCCAGATTCCCTAAAATGCGACTCTGCAGGAAGCAGTTTCTTAAAAAGGGCTGTAGTTCTGATCCAGCCAGTGGGATGCTGCAGCGTGGCGGGACGGCAACATCCGGGCTGCTGACCATGAGGTAGGTAGGTGATTCGCAGTTGAAGTTCATCAGTAGAGTAAAAACTAGCAGATTGAAGAAGAAGAAGAAGAAGAAGGAGGAGGAGAAGAAGAAGAAGAAGGGGGTTGAGCACCGGAATATTTTGTTTATTGTTCTGAACTTTCAAACTCGTGCAGGAGTCCACCGTCAGCAACAGAAAAAACGGCAGCTATAGGGCGTGTTAGCCAATCATCCACCGACGGCGCAAAACTGGAGGTGACTGCGTAGGGCTCTGTACGCCGGCGCCAGATCGATAAATCGATTGACTGAGTCCTCATCCGAGGCGCAGGCTTCAACCAATTCTCGGTCTGTTTTATTTCCGACGTGGGCGACTAGTTTGGCGTCTGCGATTGACTTCCACCCTTTAAAAATCAATGAGAACTTCGGCTGCAAGTTATAAAGCGAACCTTGGAAGCAAAGAGGAGGTTAGTGGGCGGTGACACAGTACATGAAAAGTTAAGGAACAACGGGCTTACAGAAGTAACCATGCCCAAAAGGAACTGGGACTGGTGCTAGAGGCGGACGGAGGAAAATCCGGGATAGTTACCGCTTAAGGTAGAAGAGAATACATATCCCCAGGGTCTATCTAATAGTCTAGAAAACCGAGAAGAAAGATCCTGAAACCCACCTTACAGGCTTTCTGTTGACATAAACCTGCCAGCAACAACTGAAAGGCATAGTAGAATGCTCCTCGTGCTCGTTACTATCATTGCCGACCATCAAGCACTATCGGTATGAGCGAAAAAAGGCCAACCACGTATAGCGCGTTAAATCAGGCCGAAGAATTTCTAGGGCAATCTAAACTCAAACAAACCAAAGACAGTGATCACGGCAATCTTCTTCATACCATAGGAATGACTGGAGTTAGGTGGAAGCGTCGCAAGAGAAGGGTGTTCAGGAAAACGGACATACTGAGTAGAGTTCAAGTGAAACCATAGAAATGAGGTATGGGGTGGGGATCAGGTTTGGTGATACCGTTCAGGACACTGCAGTCACCAGATTGAGGCCAGTAGACTGTCAGGAACTTGATAAAAACGTTTAGTTGCGTGCTTGATGACTGTCAGGTTCCCTGAAATTATCTAATACTGTCACTTATTATCAAACTCGGCTTTGGCTGCAGCAAGGTTGACAGAAGCAAGACTTTGAGGACGAGAAAAAAACAAAAGGACAATTGGTTTGTTTGGTGGGAAATATTATGAGATAGGAAATAGTCTGATGACAAAGAAATTCAGAAATGGACAATGAGAGTTGCTGATCAGGACAGGGGAGGAGGGTTGTTAAGGGCTGGCAAGGAGTGAAAGGTCTTAAAGAACAGCCCGATTGTTCAGTCATTAATGTTGAGTTTGTAACAACTGACCAGGAGGTTAAGTGCGGCAAATAAATGCGTCCCGAGACTGTCAGGGGGAACGTCAGAAACCGCACAAGTGCGAGGAGGGGATACCTGGGTCCAAGGTTT